CAGCCCCAAGCCTCCTACCACCACTACCAGCGACCGCCCTACTACGGCTGCCCGCAGGGCTACTCGGACTGGCAGAGACCTCTCCACCCCCAGGCCAGCCCCAGCGGGCACCACCCGCCCCTGGCCAGGCCCCCTTTCCCAGAGCGGGGCTCCGCCGGCCTGCAGGGCTGCGAGGCGCTGAGCGCCGCCCTGGCCTCTCCCAACCACATGGACCTAGCAAGTGCCAAAGAGGTTTCTCCAAGCGACGGGCAGGAGCTGGGGCCTGAAGATGAGAAGTCCGAGGAGTCCCAGGAAAGGCCGGAGAGTCCCAAAGAGTTCCTTGATTTGGACAACCACAACGCAGCCACTAAGAGGCAGAGCTCGGTGGCAGCGGGGGAGTTCCTCTATGGAGCTCCCCCGCCACACCTGGGTGCGGGGATGGGATTCGGCCCCTCGGCTTTCCCTCCCCACGGGGTGATGCTACAGACTGGCTCTCCTTACGGATCCCGGCATCCTGCCAGCCACTTCCAGCCCAGGACGTACGGATCGCCCATGAATGCTCACCTGTCTCATCATCCAGCCTCCAGCCAGGCCAACGGCCTCTCTCAGGAGGGCCCCCTGTACCGCTGCCGAGAGGAGAACGTGGGTCACTTTCAGGCCTTGCTGATGGAGCAGAGAGGCAGTGGAGGTGGCATGGGGGGGCCACCCCAGGACTTGTATAGACCCTCGGGGTAAGATCGTGTTTTCTGCAAGAAGGCAAGGTGGGAGGGGGGTGATGCCTGGGTGACCATCAGTGTTGGATACCCTTGAAGGGATATGGCTTCAAGTCACAGGAGATGGCAAGTCAAGTTGAAAGGCTTAAGAGGTGGCTCTTGGACTCTTGGAGTAAGAGTGCTAAGATGGAGAGAGTCTCACTGCATCTCCTTAAAACAAGGAGCACTCACTGTCATGGAAAACCTGATAGCCTGCCCCATCCATCCCCACACCAGTGCTGAGTTTCCCCTGACAGTGTTTTGTTAATGTGCCATCCAGGGTTGAGCATCTCTTAATCACAAGGACTCTTGCCATTTTCTTTGCAAATGTTATACTTAATCTTGCTTGTAGTGGGGAAGAGTTACTGGCTAAAGTGGAAGTTAGCCTCTTGTTATGAATGGTCCTTAATGTTGCCCTCTTTTTCCCTCCTCTTGCTTTGCCCCTTCTCTGTGTTAAATTTCCATCGCAAAAAGTTGCTTCTCACTGAGACTGCATATCACATTTTATTCCCAAGTGGAAAACACAGCTACTCCAACAATTCCCTGTTCAGTTTTTATGAATGTGCCTCAAGCTATTCACTGTTTTGTCATCATCACAGCATCAAGTCCTTCCTTCTTCTAGTATTCAGGGAACTTGGCTTAAAGCTAAGCCATTGGGGGAATGGCATGGGTTGAGGGCTGTGTTTTGGGGGAAGCCAGACAGAATATACAAGACAAATGCTTGTATGCTAATGTTGTATGTATGCCTTCAGTGAAGTAGTTTTAATCAAGAGTGGGGATTTGCTCCTGACATTCATGTGCTAAAACTCTCTCCATTCAACCTGACTCCAGAATGCAAATGCATCAGGCTCAAGTTCCTTTCCCGAAGATGCCTACAGCAACCATGTCCCGGGAAGATCTGACATCACAAAAACCATCAGCGTTGCCTCTGGATCAAGTAAGGGCTGCTAGAGAGAGCAGAGCTGAAATGCAGGTCTTTCTCCTCCCAATGGCTGAAGGATTGAGGTGTTTGATGAGGGTGGGAGGAACTGGAGGAAGCTGTGATCTGGGGCACATCACTGGTGTTACCTTTGAACTGGTTGCATGCAATCATGAGATCATTCCTTCCTAAACCTGCCAGTTAAAGCCTCCAACTCTTGTTCTTCCTCTTCCAGAGCTAGTCCAAGAAAGGACTGACTTCACCAAGAGGAAAGCCACACATGATTTGGACAACGGAGAGGAGGGGCAGGCCTTGCTCCCACCCTCCCCTCACAGCAGGGAGCTTCCCGGGGCTGCGGAACACGGCACCGTGCCGGATTTTGTGTGGGAAACCGGTGCTGGGACCCTGCCAGCTGAGCAGCTGGCTCTCCATCGCAGGGCACCCCAAACTCCAGTGGCTTTCCGTGACCAGAGACTGCGTCTCATTCAGGGTTTGAGGGATTTTTCGGGTGGGGAGGGCGGGGGTGGGGCTGGAAACTTTCATGGACTGCTAAACTCAGGTATATTTTTCAGGGTGGAAGAGGACGATGATGGAATTTTACTTGTAGTATTAACGTGTGTGTGTTTTGGAGCTGGATCCAGTTTACAGAATTTAACCTGTTGCCTTTCTAAATAAATTTTTGTTGTTGGTGAATGTATTGTACATAATGGGGGAGGGGGTGGGCCCAGCTTGTAGTGGGCTTAGCACTGGAGGAATTGTTAACTGTTTACAATCATATCACACTGAAATCTTTCAGGATAGGGTGAGGGTTTGGGGGAACTGGGGAGAGGTGAGGAAATGTATGATGGATGACTTGCTGTCCTCCTTCCTGTCCTCTACAACCAAGACACGACCCCATAGCTGGTTGACTTAATAGCGGGAATTGCTCAGGAGCATAACAGATCCTCCTCTTTCTCTTGCCTTCTTCCTCCTTCCGCTCTCACCCCCACCCCTCTGGATCCAGGGCCTGAGTGCACTTCCAGCTCCTGTCATCATGGGGGAACAAGGAAACCAGGACCAGGAATTGAAACCAGGGCAGGACACCCATGGCATTGTCCCTTCTGCTAGTATAGTACCCTTCTCCCTGCCTTTCTGGTAGAAGAAATGTGTCCTCTAGAAAACAGAAAATGGCATAAGCAGTCATCTTAAAACTGACTTTGGTGAAAGCAGTGTGGCTGTAGGTGGAGCAGCACCTATCTAGTAGAAGAAATTTTGTGCAAATCTTTACTGCCCTGCTGCCCAAGAAGAGGAGCCAAGTCCCCACCTCTTTCTCTGACCCTGGGCTATATTCACTTCTCAGCAGCAGTGAAGCAGAAAGTGCCAGAGGCTTCCTGAGCACTCTTGCTGAGGAGGAAGAGCAGGAGGCTGCCTTGGGGGAATGGTAGGATTACTGCAGTGTGAGCCATTTGTTGGATTTGGCATTTGCAAGTCACAGGTGAATTGGAATGTACTCAAGCACTCATTCAGAGTTAGATGAGGGACAAGAGGGCTGCATGCTCGAGTTGAGTTGGTTTAACTTTCTAAAGCAGCAGGTCCTACAGGGCCAGTGGCAGTACTGCACTGGGAAAAACCCTCTTGTGCCAGTGCTTGGACGGCCACTGCTGTTCAAGCAAGTTCCATAGGAATTTCAGCTGCATTTATTCCCATCTTAAAGCTAACAAGCAGTTGATTGTTCTTGAGGAAGCTGGAGCTAAACAGGGGAGTTGTTAAGTTATGAGACTGGGCAGCCAGAGATGCTGGGAGCGTAGCTCTTGAGAGCAGGCTGCACTGGGAGAGGACAGGGGTTAAAAAGAGGATTTTGGACAGAGTATGGCAGCAGAAGGACAGAGCAGCATGCCCTTTAGTCTGTGCTGCCAGCTAGAGGAGGGATATTGTCTTCAGTTTCTGGAGAATTTTTCTGTCTGCTTTCTTGTCTTGGATGGTGGCATCACCCATATCTTTAGCTGGATTGCACCAGGCTGCATGACTGTACTGCCTTTGTCCTGCTGTGTAGATGTACCACAAGCTGGCAGAGCTGCTCAAGTAAATGGGAGGCAACATTTGACTGAGCCATTGCTCCTTCTGTCCTAAGCTTTTGGAAGAGCAAAAAGCTTTTTGGTGTAGTTTTTGTTTTTCCACTTATATTCATCTGTCAGGGAGAAATTGTGACTGGTGGATTGATGTAGACTGGAATGAGCCTGAAGGTTGACCTTTGACTGAGAAATGGGTAACTGCTTTCCCCAGCTAAGAATATTATGTCTCTTCCAAATTTGTCCCAAATCTGGCTCATCAGTTGGCAGTGGTTTTCAGAGGTGCCCCAGCTGCTCCAAAAGGCAGGCTTAGATCCTTCACTGAACAGAGACACAGGAGCAGTAGTAGATCTTAATGAAAAATTGTGCAGGTATAACTCCTCTTTAAGACAACAAACCTAGGACAAACACAGTTTGTACTTGTAGAGCAGTCTTTAGTTCACTGTAGATAATAACAGATTTAAAAACAGAGGAACTGGAAAATATAACTTGTAGCAAAGCATTGAAAACTCTGGAAATGTGAATATAGATTCTACATAGAAGCCCTGTCATACTTCAGCCTGTCTTCTGTATCACAGGCAGCTGAATATTTGAAGTGCCTTTCATTCAGCCCATTGTGAACATTGTGGAACAGGAGGTTTTTAGAAGCTATAAAAACTCTCCAAGCAAGCTGAAGCACACTTCAGCTGGAACTGGCACTGAAAACACTGTTCTAGTGGTCATGGCTTCTGGATGAGTACCAAGCCTCAATCAAAACAGGAGACAACTAAGGAGGGCAAGAATTGCTTGTGGTCTGCCTGGAGAGGGTAGTGGAGTGTTAGACAGTGATAGATACCTTCAACTGCCATGAGGCAAATCTGGGAGAAGGGTTTGACTTGCAGGTGGCAGACAAAACCAAGTAGGGAAGCTGACTCCTCCTGGGAGGGTTTCTAGGTAAACGTCTTTTGATGTTGTCAGTAATTTTTATTAAAGTGGCTAACAAGCTGCTGTTGTGAGGACAGATGGTTTCTGTTAGAAAAGTACTCATAAAGAATACAGGGAACCATGGCTGGGCTTTCTTGAGGAGAGGACATGCTGAGGTGGAGTTTTAGAACAGAGTTTCCAGACTTTCAAATGCTTTGTTCCTAAGTGAGGCTTGGGGGTTTTTTCTTTCCCTCTTACAAATATCTAGGGATCCCCTCAAAATCAGAGCTTAATCTCTTTAGGTACAACCTGAGCAAATCACTGAACACTGAGTCCCCTCAGAGGGCACAGCCCTGGGAGAGGATTGCTGGGCTGGAATACCCATGCAAATGTAAAGAGGAGCAGATAATGTGAATTTTATGATTTCCAAACGGTGCTGCTTTGTAGATACTGTTGAAGAGAGGTTTGAGGGATTTAGAAGAGTAGCACCTGAGCTCTTTATGTACAGAGTGGTGTTCTGTGCCATGGGTTGGAGTGCAGTGCAGGACAAGTGTAGCTGCATTTTAAAATAATGTGGTTTTTGAGTGCCATACTTTGTGCCACTTTATAAAATTTTTAACACAATACAGAGCAACTCTGGTGCATCCCTCAGTGTTGCTTAGTACCATATAATACCAGGTGGTCCTTTTTCAGAAAGCATCCTGAACTAGTGACGTTGCAAAATTTCCTGTAGCTATTACTTTTCCTATCTGGAGGATGTGTTTTGCTACAATTATGTCTTTCATGTTGAATGAGATTATATAATACATAGAACAATTATGAAGTTGACAGTGCTCAAGCATGACAAAAATTTCCAGTATTCTCAGAAGAGCTTTGTATGCTACTCTACCTTTTTAGCCTCTTGCTCTCCCCACTACTTCCTCCTTCCTAAGTGGTGGGTGGTGTTCCCAGGATGTCAAGTTGCCTTTGCAAAGGCCATTGTATAAAATCCCCCTGAGATTCTGAATCTTTGGGCATCTTAGGTGATACAGGCCCTGGCAATTCAACTGGAAAGGGCAGTCCCTGAGGCTTCACTGGGACTCTTAGGTGTGTTTAGAAGAAGTTTGCAGTCTAAATTCCATGGTGTGACCCACCAAACCACTTGTAGCAATCCAAGGCACCAGCCTGCAATGAGGAGGACAAAAGAGGAAAGTAAATTTGAAGTTTCAAGGCCCAACTGGTTGGATTTGTGACTTTGAAGTAGATGGAGACACTTTTCTTGGAAGCTTCTGATTTTTTCTTGTCTGCCAAACGCCTTTCCCATGCAGACTTTCCGAAGCAAATCGCCTGTGTATATTTTTGTAAGTGTGGTTTCTCAGGGTCTTGGAGAGCTATCAGCTTCATGATGGCTTATCTGAAAGCAAGTCACAGAGGCTGTCTTTCATTCTGCTGACTGAGGCAGCTCCCCTGCAGGTTCTCACCCCAACACTTCTCCATTTAAAATGAAAGTATAATTAGAAAACAACCTTTCTTTATTTTCTCCACTGATCCCTGTCAGGCTTTTGTTCATCTCTCTGTTCAGCCAGGGTGGTTTGTTTGTTCTTGATGGCTTCGTTCTGCTTTCCTTTTCTGAAAAGACTGTGTTGCTGTATGCTCTGTGGAATTTCAGAGAAGGTGCTGAAATGAGTGACAGGGAGGTGTCATCCCAAAGGTTGGCTTGGACCAACAGTGGAATCTGTGATGGTGTAATTGGTCCTGGTTCCCCTTACTGCAGAGCAGCTGTGCAACTGGGTCTGCACTTAATCAGAGCAACCCCTTGCAGGGTTTTTACTGTGGTGCATCAGTGGAGGAATGGAGGTGTTTGCTCTTGCATGATTCTTGTTTTGCTTTGTGTGAGTGCCAGGTCCTTCCTGCAAGGCTGGCATTGAGCAGGCTGTGCAAGGAGGGCTGCAGCTGCAGCCCCTGGGAGCTTGAAGAGTTTGTTGTAAGGGAGAGAGCATCTCAAAGGTTGCCCTTGCAGCCTCTCCCCTTGTGTAGCTGTCTAACATAGCTGGGGGTGAGCACTCCGAAGGAGAACTCTTTTTAACCAGCACATAATGAACTGCATGTTCTGGTTTCCACTCTGCCCACCTCTCACTCTGCAAAAGAGCTGGGAGGGACCCATTTCCAGCTGTGTCCCAACAGGGAGACAGCTAGGCAAGGCTCAGTCTACCCTTAGGCAGGGAAATTCAGGACAGGTTCTAATGGATTTGAAACTAGATAGTAACTTCTAAGTGCACCTTTGAAGCGAGCTGTGTTGTGCTCTTCCCTCTTTGCTCACTGTCTCACCTTGGCTCACATGCAGGATTTGAGAGACCATGGAGCATTTTGTAGATCTAACACTGCTGGTCTTGCATTGGCTGAGGGCTTTTTTTCCTTCATTTGCAGCCATGGCCTAGATTTCTTTTGGCAAAGGTCTTCCTCTTTTTGAAAAGTGGATATCAAAGTGAACAGTGCATCAAGGAGAGAGCAAGAGCTACGTCCACCAGGGAAAGAGGGGACAAAGGATGAATTAGGACTGATGCTTAACTGGGATTTTCACCAACTCCAGCAAGTCCCTCTGTCCTTTGCCCCTTTTATTTGGAAACACTTGGCTCCCTTAGCAGAAGGGCAGTAAGTGGAATATCTTCTGACTAAAAGCAGAACTGACTCTGTGTGAGCACAATTCCCTTGCTGTGAGCAAAGTTAGAGCAGAGAGCCACTGGGGACTCCTTTGGGCATCAAGTGAGTCAGGGGCCCCCCGACACCTGGTGCACTCAAGCACTGGAGCATGGCAGGGGAGCCAATCTCCCTTTCTGAGGCAGCTACAGGAGCTTAGGCCTCAACTCTCAGTCTGGAAAGTCCTCTGATCCCCTTTTGTATCACATGCCAGCAGCTTTCCAGTCTCTTTCCCTCTGCTGGCTGCGCTGCAGTCGTGGCTGTCAAGTGCGGAGATGAAATCTCACTGCCCACACGAGCACAAGGGCAGAGGCTTGGCCTTGCCAGCTGCCTCCTCTGCACACACATAGACAGCAGGTGGGGAGGGCACATTTACTCTCCTCATGGAATTGGGGTGTCCTCAGTGGCTCACAAGGCTTCTCTTGTGTGCCCCTGGGGTTTGCCAGCCGGGCACAGCGGTGTCTGTCCATCTGCCAGTACAAGGATTTGCTCCTGGTCCCAGTGCAGGGCTCTCACAAGTGATCCTGGCACATCTACCTCCAGGAGGGTTTAGGTTAAAAATGCCTGTGCATATATTGTGTACAACTGTGAAAACTCTCGTCTCTCCTCCTTGCTGGATCAATGAACTCTGCTGCCCGATCTTTTTCTGAGCAATAATAACGTGCAGCAGTGCAGCTTTGACCTTCCTGTACTGTTTTAGGGCTAAGATGACAGTGGAACACACTGGGGGGTTCTTCTCAGTCTCAGTGGGAAGCTAGGTGCTCTCTATGGCCCTACATTTTATCATGCTTGCTTTCCCAGAGACTGGAGGGTGGATTTAGGAAGCCATGAGAGAGCTGGGTTGCTGCTTCTGTGTTTGAGGAGGCAGAGAGGGAAGGGTAAAGTTGAGCCTCATCCATCCATCCATCCATCCATCCATGCACAGAGCAGAGCACATGGAAGAGGGGTGGGTGAATGACTGATTTAATGCCTCTGGGGAAAGAGAGTGACCCACTGCTGCTTCACTGGGCACTGCTGGGGAGGACTGGGGGAGCCTATGCCACTACATCCATTCATTTTTCTGAAGTTGGGTAACATTTGGGGTTGTTTTTGTATTATTGTAAGTTTGTAAAGAATGTAATCTGTCTGTCGGGGGCACAAGGAGAAAACGGGGGCCTTGCTCTTTTTGGGTGAGGCTGTTCTTATGTTGCTGTGCTTTTTGTTGTTGGGCAGGGAGGGCTCTGGTGGCCGTGGGGGCAAAAGCCTGGCCTTTGTCAATGGCTTGCAGCTGTCCCAGGGTGACAGGAGGGGTGAGCTGAGGCTGCAGCAGAGACCTCCCACACCAAGCTGTGAAAATGCCTCTGCCAGTGGGGGAAATCTGACCTCTGCAGTGGGGCTTTGCACTGGCATGTTTTGCTGGGTGCTGGGGTGTACCCCTCGAGGACTGGGCTTGCTTGTCCTCAGCTCAGTTGGAAACTGGGCTGAACAGCTGCCCATGCTCTTTAGGAAAGGTTGGACTGGATGGGCTCAGTTTATCAGCTCAAGAAGGAGTTCATGCTGGAGCTACTGGTCCCAACACTTCTGTCCCCAGCCTCAGGGGCTGCACCTCTCCATCACCTGCTGCCCCCACCTCCCTCCCCATCCTGTAGAGCACAGTGTCAGGGATCCTCTTCTCTCTCCTGCTGCTGCAAAGTTGTGTGAACTTTCCTGGTCAATACTGGAAAGGGGAATGCTATTTATTTTTATATTGTGTATATTTTGTCTTGGTCTGCTGATTACCTTTGTTCCCCAAGAGCGACAGTTACCTCAATAGTTAGTTTAATACTGTGTGTTGGGTAATTTTTTTAAAGAACTTTTTTAAAATCTTGATCCTTGGAGGTCTGTAGATTTTATTTCCATATGAATTGGTTATTTTGTATAAAGTACATTCTTAAAATAGCAATCACCCTTGCTGTATGTGTGTTTTCTTGTCTCCTGGATGGTCTCCCTCTTCCTTTGCAAGGGGAAGCGGATGGGGGTGGGAGGATAACACAGAGGGCTTTTTTTTCAGGGGGACAAAGCCCTGGACTGCAGTCAGACAGTGCTGTACCACCTGTAATCCATTTACAAGGGAGCACCTGGAAAGCTAATTGGGATCATTTCCCGTTCAGAAGCACAGCTGTCCGCCCATGAACAACCCAGCTGTGGAAATGAGATGGTGTCACTGTTTTCCTCCCAAAATCCCTGCTGGGCTGTGGGTTTTCCTGCAGCCCAGGTGTGCTGGGGAGCCTGCCTCTCTGCCCAAAACACACCATGATTTTGGGGCTCAGGTAGTCTGTGCCCCCACAGTCAGGTGAAACTTCTCAGTGGCTGCCCTGAAAGGAGCCCTTGGAGCTGCTAAGGAGGAGCTGATGTAGCCTCTGTGACTCCCCTTTGTGCTGGTTTAATTATGGCCCTCAGGGGCTGTCAGAGCCTGTGTGTGGTGGTCCAATTTAATATTTGGCCCAAAAGGGCACTTGTTGTTTGCTGTTTATTCAGTCTCCCACGTGAGATGGAGCAGGGGTTGCAGCCCTCCCTACAGGGAGGTGTTTAAAGTCAACTTAGCTCTTTCTCACTGGGGTTTCAGCATCACAGCCAGGAGCTGGCCATTCTGTTTCATGCTGGAAGGTGCCTGCTGTAGGTGAATGGAGGCAGCTTGCACTTGGCCATTGCACAGCTGCTCCCTGAATCAATAACTTGCTCAGTTCTGCTGAGTCGGCAGCTTTGCATCAGGACAAAATTAAGGTGATTTTCCTTAAAAGCTGGTGCCAGCAAATGGAGGCATGTGAGGATGAACAGCACAAAGCTGGGGGCACAAAGGCTCCCAGGTGCATGCTGCAAGCCCTTTCTCTCTGCTCCTCAGCTCTATCCAGTGAAATCTCCCTCTGTTTCCTCCAGGGCTGGTAACAGATGCTCATATCCCCTGCCAAAACAGCCCTGCAGCAGAGCCTGCTCGCTCCGTGGGCTCCATCTGCCCCTCCTGGGGGATCCTCGCTGGGGCTGGGGCTGCTCCCAAGCTGAGCTCGCTCTCCTGGCTCTCAGCACCAGAGCTGCCTCTGCCAAGAGATGCCCAGGAATCATTTGGCCATGGTGCAGGTCCATTATTACTGGCTAAGCCAGGGGCCAGTTTCTGGCCAAAGCAGCTCACAGGAGTATGTGTAGGCAACTTCCCATCCTGGGCTGCACCCTGACATCTTTGAGTACCCCAAACCCATCAGCCAGGTGCCAGAGCTGCCCCTGCTGTTCAGGGCAGGCAGATGAAATCAAACATCCCAGCAGGGTTTTTCCCAGCATGGCTGCAGCTCCAGGCCCTGCAAAGGCTCCTGAGGACCTTGGCTCCTGGGGAAGGATGAAGGGCTGCTCTCTGTCACATATCCCCCCTTCCCCTCTCCCCTCCACGGGGGCTGGAGTTTGGGGTGACAAGAGCAAGCTGTCCAATTTAGGAAGGGGAGGAATTTGGTTGCCCTATCAGTCCCAGGAAGTGTTTGGGTCAGAGGGGATTGGCATGGGGAGATTTTTAATCCTGGGGCTAAGCCGGCACAGAGTGGAGTCGGCACTAATTGGAACCAGTCCTGGGGAAGGGGTGGATGAGAGTTCCTCCTTTTAGAGCAGCCCAGGCAAGGACAAAGCTTATCTGTGCTATAGGAAATGCCATGTCCTGATCTTGACAAGATGCTGTCACGAGTGTAACGGGCTGTGTCAAACCAAGCCACGTGTCCCCTTATTTTTTTCATCTCTCTCTAGCATCCTTCTCCCTGATAACAGGGATGCTCCCCAAACCCAGCATTTTTCCCTCCCCCCCAAAAAAAGCCATTTCAAAGCAACTTGTTCATGTAGGCTTGAACTGGGGATGGATTTGATGAACCAGTTTCAGTAGGAACCAGTTTAGTTTGGGTTTGGAAATAAATGGCAGCCACTTACCCCCATGAAGGGGCACACCCTGAGGAAAGCTCTGATTCCAGGCTGGCTTTGCTACAGCTGGAGGATGATGCAGCTGTAATGGAGCTAAATGCAGCATTTTGGAAATGCCTAATGGTGAAAGAAGAACCAGAAAGTCTTTGCCACAATCAGTGTTTTTTGGGGGTTTTTGGGTTTGGGTTCTGCTGGGCTTTTTTGGGGGGGGCAGAGGGTGTTGATTGGTTTTGTGTATTTCTCTAAAAAATAAATCATCTTGCAGGTAAAGTTCCCATCTTGAATTTTCCTGTTAGTTGCCACACTTTGGTGTGGGAGAGACTACCTCACATAGAAAGGCAGGACAAGGACATTTGTGATAGCTCAGGAAGACTCAGTTTTAGGCTAAAACAAATTATTTGTAGTCACTTACACTTATAAGGAAAAATAAATGCACTCATATGTTCAAAATTTTGATTTCCCCCCCCCACACACACACACATTGAGATCTAAAATGCAGCTTCTCCAAGCAGACAGGGGTCTCTTGAAGGGTGGCACTCTGCTGTATCTCCTCCAGCCCTGAAAGCTGCAGATTTTGCTTGGTGGAGAAGTCAGAGGCACAGGAGGAAAAAGCAAAGCCATTTTGCCTGGTGAGAATGTACCTGAGCCCCTCGTTCCCAGCCGTGGCCTGAGGTGCAGCCTTGGTGCCTGGATGTTTATACACTCACAAAAACGAGGATTAGGGTCTCCCAAAAAGAAGTATTGGGTCTCCCAAGTGCTGAAATAAAAGTAAACTTGTTCTGGACCATAACAAGAGCCCCCAGATGGGGATTCCTTTCTTTGCCCAGCAGCAGAGAGAGAGAGGTTTTGCTGGAGGTGGGAAGGGACAGTGGCCAGGGCTTGCCAAAGGGTGAACCAGGAGCCCCTCCTCTGGTGTCAGCTCCCGGAAGCCTCACGTTCCCCGGCCACTTTTTAAAATTCCTTTCCCAAACAGACTGCCAGGGTGGAGGGATCATAAAAAGTTCACCCCCTTGTCACGAATGCTCCCGTTCTTCCGGGGCCGGTGGGCAAAAGTTGTTAGCAATTTCCTCGGGCCGTGACCTTTGTTTTGACCATGGCAGAGGAGGATTGCAATCCATCAAACCCTTGCTTGGCCTGGGGAGAGGGTTGGGAAGAGAAGGGGGAGCTTTTACGAGGGGCAGGGGGCACAAGGACGTGGCTTTGCCCCTCAGGTTTGGTGAGGAGGCAGGGGGGGATGCCTCGCTGCTGGCTCAGCTGGAAACTCAAACTTCCTGACGTGGGATTCACTGAGGGAAACTTCTCTGTGTGGGCCACAAGAGAGATTTGAGAGTTTGCTTTCATTTTCTATCCCAAGAGGGATGCTGGATTACAATTTGCTCCATCAGTAGAGTGGGGAAAGATGTGCTGCAGAGCTTGTGCCCAGAGCCAGGACTGCATCAGCACCGGAATTCCAGCAGGAGTTTGGGCAAAATGGGAGATGCCAGCAGATTTACCACCTCCCAAGTCCCAGCTCCTATTGGTCCCTGGCTTTTCCAGGCTGCATGGGTTTTTGGAAGATCCTGTAGGGCTGTGTTTTGTTAGGAAAATCAGCAGCTAACTTGAACTCCCCCCTGGGAAATGGCTGGCTCCCACAGACACCTGCCTCTCCACTCAAGTTCCCAGGGGGGCAGCTCATCCCTGGAGCATCCCTGGTGCTCCCCTGCACCCCGGTGTCCCCTTTGAAGACATACCTGCATATGAAACAAATCTCCCCTGAGGAAATGCAGCCTGTGCATACCAGTCTGCTCTGCTTCCCTTGGCTGCCTGCCCCTGCCTCCCCTCCCTCTGATCTCCGCTTCCCTAGGGAAATGCATCCTACCGCACTTCCCGGCTGTTAAACACAGATTCCCTTGGGAACTTCCTCTGTCAGTTATCCCCCTTGGATCAGGCCCTTGGAAAGCACCTAGGCTTTGGGTTCAGCAGGGAGGCTTGCAATCTTTCACCTGTCCCCTTTGTAACACCCAGACCTTCCTTTCCACCCCAATCACTTGCATGACAACCAGGGTGGCTTTTTCCCTAGGAAGCAGCAGCTGTGTGCTCACTTCCAGGCACAGCAGAGCATCAGATGGAGAAATGTGCTGCTTATTTCCTTGTTTGATGAGGATCTGTTGAGCTCAGGGAGAAGGGAAAGACTTTTACACCTCAAACTGAGAACCTTAGGCTGTGTGAGGTAGCTCCTTGGACTGGGAGGCACACAAAAGCCTGGAGAAGGCAAACCAGACCTCTCAGTAGGAATAATCCTCTGCTCCCATGTTAATCGCTGCTATGCTTGATAACCTGTGTGCCTGAATGCCCACACCACTTCCCTCCCTACCTGTACTTTGTCTGCCTGACTCACCAAACCCAAACCTCTCCTTGTGTGCACTTCAGTCAGCAGCACTGGGGTTCTTTGACATCCCCATACACTGGGTGTTGAGCCCAGGCCTGTTGGCATTTAGCACCTGCCACCACCAAAACACTAAACACAGCCCTCCTTGTCCTGTGTCCCATGCCTGTCTCAGGGGACATGCCATGCTGTGTGGGCTCAGAGCACCCATTCTCAGGCCTCACTGAAATTAAAGCCACTCTCCTTTCCTTCCCCCAGGCCCTGTTTTTGCTGCTCTCCCCACAGCCCAGACCCTCCTCCATGGGGTGTCTCTGAGGGGCTAAAGCCGGGCACCAAAGTGCTTGCCCTGGGTGCTGGCGGGCGTGGGAATGGAGAGGAGCCACAAGTGCCTGCCTTTCCAGCAGGGCTGAGTGCCTGAGTGCTTTGAAGGAGAGGGGCTGTGGAGCATGGGAAACAGCACCAGGCTTTGGGTGCATCCCCTGTCCCAGGCAGGCAGGGCCCTGGGCCTGCCCCATAGGCGGGTGCCCACGGACCAGATGTTCTGGGAGATCAAAGGCGCTGCATCCTCCGTTCACGTGTGTGCACACACCCCCCTGCGCCTCCCAAGAGACTCCTAACGCTCTCTATCTCCTCTCCAAGATATTTTCCTT